TCTCGCCAATCGAAAAGTCAATGTGACAAACATTACGGACCGGAGTAGTATCATATTCTTGATATCCTCAATGGTCAGAATATGTTGTATATTTCGACCTTCGACATCCAATCATGCTAGAACAGTTCTGTTCAAAGGGCTTTGATGCGCCTCGTCGTCAGTAATAGAGAGTTTTCGGTACATCAAAATTTCGACATTACATTGAATTTTGCCTATTATGAAATTGAATATTTCACGGTAATTCTCTACAAATCCATTCTCCAACTTTGTCCCAATCTATGAGTCGACTGAGATTGGTGGCCCCAATCTCAAGGTTTGGAACTCAAGGTTTAGGTTCAAGAACCAGACTATGGTACGGATATCACACCAGCACACACAGCCATTCAGTTGGCAAAGTCATGTCACACCACCCATCTGCACTCCAGACATTGCGGAGCTCCATCCTGACGAGACCAGTGGGAGCCGCAAATTCGCATACCATCATGACATCAAGCTACTGCTGCAGATTACTTTCGCGAGTCCCTGGGAGGCCGACCACGGCAAGCAGTTGCAGGCTTGGTCTGCCATCGCTGATGCGCTTGGACAGTCTGCAACTTTTGGTCTAAAGAAAAAGGGCCCCACGATGAAGGCAAGGTTTGACGTTCTCATGTCTCGGTTGGTGCGAGGTGAAAGTGAGTCGTTGCGGACGTTGGGTACAGCAGAAGAGTACGAGGAGCGAGAGCAAGGATATCAAGACGCGTATGGACGACTTCAAGGCCTCTGAAACAATTCGAAAAGATGTATGCCGACGAAAACTGGAAGGGTTCGAAAACTCGGGTATGTTGCTGCGGAAAAAGGCGTTGGGAGAGCTTGAACGCAGCAGCCAAGAAGAGGCTGGCACACAAAAACGGGAGAAACGTAAAGCTACTGCAACATCGATCGACATGAACAACCTCATTCATGCAATTCAAGCAGGAATTGATGACAAGCGCCGCCGAGAAGAGCTCATTACTGAGCAAACAGCAGCAAGATTAGAGTTTGATCGCAAACAAGCTGCCCTTCGTGCCGAACAACACCACGCTAATTAGCGCATGATGATGGAATTGGTCAGCGCAATCGCTAACGTATTGAGTAAAAATACTGCTTCGATCATCACTCACATATATCCCGAAATAGAAGTCAAGAATCCTTACAGCACTGTTTATGTAGGGTATTTCACAAGTTAAACCAGGACAATTTATTTATGTCAATTTGCTCAAGTTAAGGAAACATCACATGAAGTTCACGCTGAGTGTAGGTCAAATGTGTAATTTTAATGTAATTCATTTCTAAATAGGGCAAGAAGCCAATGTATCATTTAGAATTTGTATACGTACACTTCAAAATACTTTGTACAAACAAAATTAGGACTCAAGAAGCAAAGTCAACTGATCATGGAAAGGTACGCGTCAATGCTTGGAGGTCGCAACCCAAAGTACATGGAGATTTGGTTGCCTTGAGGCTTCATACAAGTATGACAGTTGGTAAGTAAGGTAGCCACGAGCCAAAACATACCAACCGGGCAATGCCGAACCTTCATCTTCTTGTCGTAACTCACTTAACTCCACAAGCTC